GCAGGGCTTAGGGGTTTAGATGTTTGGCCCTAAACCAACACGGTAAGGACGTCCAGGATTCATGGAATCCTGTCTTGCAGGCAGTTCCCTAGGCGGCAGTCTCTTCTCAACTCTGGTGCACAGCCCCGGGGCCGACCTTCGACGGTGCACATTCCGAGGAGGGTTTAGGGGTTTTTATAGGGGTTTTATGTTGGGGTTTCACAGGGTTTTATGAGGCTTTTAGGTTTAGGGTTTTGCAGGTTCACAGGTTTAGGGGTTTCAGGGTTGTAGAATTGGGGTTACAGGGTTCGAGGGTTGCGGGCTCTAGGGATTTCCCCAAAACTAGTTAACCCCTAAGACTTTGGCGTCCAAAGCCCTTGGACTGTTGGCTATCAGGAAGTCTCATTCTACATGGTCCTTATCAGGAGGAGCCCAAGTTGAGAAGAACCCCTGGCTCAAACTTCTGAAGACTTCAGAGCCCGTAAGCCTTGAACCTCAAACCGACGTTGACGTTTGGGAAAGCGAAGTCCTCCGTTGGCCCCTGGTACCTACCTCCCCACCGCTGGCTGAGCAGCCGAGACGCAGGCTTTTCGGTTGGATTCATGAATTTAGCGTGGAGGCTTTAGGGAAAGGGCTCCCCACTTCGGAGGCCCCTCTATGGAACACCCTCTTGCCCTTGCTTCTGGGCGTCGCAGCCTCCTACAAAACTACTTCAGCCCAAGCAAGGCTATGGAGTTTCACTATGGGGCCTTAGAACAGGTTCTTGTTGCAGCTACGTTTACCTGTAGCTCGGGGCTGATGTGAAAATGTCCGCGGGTTTGATTCTAGAGGTATAGAGGTGGAGGCTTTGGAGCATCTTTCGTGGGGTTTACGTTTTTGTTTCTTTTTGGAGGCGGTGGGGCAGGGGTGGATTGGGGTGGCAAGGTTCTACATGGGTGGGTACAAGGAGTTCTGACTAGCTAAAAAAGCTGCGGAACTGCAAGGGTCCCTGTGGTCAGGGTTTAGTGAGGGTTCTTTTGTTCAGGGTTTCGGGTTTAGAGGGCGTTTCTCCGGAGCAATCTAAGCCCTAAACGCTTGCAATGCTGATTGGGCCTGCCCATGCTCACGGGGCTTGAGGCTCAAGGCTTGGGGATTGAAAGGGTCATCCATAGACGTAGAAGGTGCCATGATATCCTGAACCCTCAAACCTTTTAATCCTTGACCCAACCAATCCCTTTGAAGTCTGCGAGCCACACGAGTGCCCTGAAAAAATGCTAAAATCCCCACAAATTCCAATCTAACAAATCTCAAAAACCTAAAATCCCAACAAGCAACCGCACTGCATCCTTGAAACCCTAACCCCTAAACCCTGCTCTCGCCAGCCGAGTAGTCAGGGTTTGTTGGTCCTTTAAGGGGTCCTTGGGCTGTGTGAGAGAGAGCGGTGGGTGGCTTTGTCTGTTTCGGATTCAGGGCTTAGGGCTTGTGGGATTTATAACTTTGAGGTCCAAGTCAGAGTGCCCAACCCTTAAGCCCCAACCCCTATCCCTAAACCCTAAACCCCCAAACCCAAACCCCAACCCGCGCATACAGAATTTTCAGGGTTCGTAGGGCTTACAGAGGTTATAGGGTCTGCTTGTAGGGTTGATCTAGGCATGTTGCAGAGGGGTTTATGGGGTTGTTGGGAGCCTGCGTCTTTGGTGGGACAGCCGGAGCTGAGCGATATGGAATGCCGCACGCGGGCTTGCGGTGTGTGTTCTATTTCCCGTTTTGTCGAGCAAGACTAGGAGTTGTAGGTTTGTCCAGAAGGTCTACAATCTAAAGCGGAACTTGTTCCTATAAATAGGTCCCCCCTGAAGGCCCCTGATTCATGGCAGTTTAGGGTAATGTCTGGACCGTAGGCCTTGGGCTCTGTGAACCGTAGGCCCAAAACACTCTGAGCAGTCGCACATGTTGGGTTGCTCTTGAGGTTGCAGTTTTCTGCCTTGGAGATTGCGGCATGGCTGATTCAACATGTTTCAACCCTTTAAATGTAGTAGGATTTCGGTTTCAGGGTTGTAGCGGTTGCGGGGAAAGGAGTTTGGACACCGCAGGCCTGCCAGAAAGCCCAATGATCGTAACACCAAGATGGTTCATTTTGAATTTTGCCAGATCGGAAGACGCTGCCCGACTGGCCTGGGCTAAAGTCGGAGTACGGCTGTAGTGCTGAGGGTGACCCAAGACTTGTAACCCTCAACCTCTACAGACATCTTGGCCCAGGCCGGCTTTGACATCTGCACCCTCCCAGTATTGGCTAAAGCTGTCCTGTGATCACGCGCGAGGATAGTTTGCCTAGGGGCTCGCTATGTTTGATCCCGTCAAGATTCGGCAAGACCGAAAGTCCATATGTAAAAGGTTTTTCAACGAACAGGTTAGTGCAAGCCTCGCCAACGATGAGGCTTGGGTTAAAAGGTTAGGCCTCAAAGGGCAAGCCACAGATTTTGCTTGGAATAATCCTGGTGAGCACTTGAGAAGACATGAGTGTCCGCCCATTGTCTATGAATCGTGAAATTCGGAGGCTCGAAGATAATTCAAGTTCAGGGTCTTCTTTCGCGGACCCTGAAGAAAAATCACCCTCTAATCGCATGGTCCTTACACGCGGGCCCTCATGCTATCTTCCTCTGGGATCTCGCGACCTCAGCCCTCTAAACCCTATAGGCGCGTAGTGGCAGCCCTGAGAGGGGATGGGGGCAGATGAGGGCAACGCCGATGAAGAGGATCCTGGCCATGCAAGACGACTGTGTCAGCTGTGTAGGATTGATAGGGTTTAGGATCTAGGGTTGGTGAACATGCAATCTGTGCAGATTCGTATGTTATATATATATATATGTATGTATGTATGTATGTATGTGTCATACAGATATGTATATATATATATAGATATATACATCGACGAATGATGTGAGGTGGTCTTCGGATGTTGTGCTTTGCTTGGGGACGCCGCGACTTGCGCTAGATCACTGCAGGGCCTTCAAGGGTTTAGGGTTTGGGGTTCAGGGTTTAGGGTTTCGGGTTTCGGGTTCCAAGAGCCTTGCGCCCAACTGACTGTCGCTCCAATATTCTAAAAGGTTTATGTCTACACCCTTGACCCTAGTCAGACCCTACACCCTGTAGGGTGCATGCACCTTGAAGCATTCGAGGCTGAGCCCTATAGTCGTCTTTGCTGGAGTTGCCTCCCATGGCGCGTTTTGGCGCCGGCCAAGACATTGATTTGCCTCGCGATAGAGAGAAAAACAAGCGCGAGCAACCGTTCATGTCCAGACCTTGTAGGGTTTGGGCTCTCACGGCATAGGACTCAGGGCGTTTTAGGTTGTTTATGTGTGGGGTGGAAGGTGGAGCCTTCTCGAGTCTAGGGTGTTTGTCCCAGCGTTATAACTGCAAGGCATGAATCCTTTGTGTCCCACGGCTGCGCGGAGCGAAGTAGCTCCAGTACCTGCGTATATACATATATACCTATGTCATTCGTGTGTATGTATAGATATACATACACGCATGTCGCAAATTTCTCTTTAGGGGACCATGCATATGCGCCCCCCGCCCTCCTCCACCCCACCCCATATCCTCCGTGGACAAACCCTCCTCCCAGGGCGTATAGGCTCGCTCCAGCTCAGGTCACGGTGCCATCGCCGCTGAACGCGCCGGCGGAGACGCCTACGGCGCATGGCGTCGTGGAGGTGTGGGCTGACCGCATCGTGCCTCGGCCGATTATAGGATGTGATGGACCCTTCAAATCATAATTCAGCTTTCCTACAGCCGAAATCTGACTCCTAAACCCTAGAAGCCCTCAGCCACGGGGAGCATCCTGTTTCGATTAACTTTCTCTGAGCTTGCCTGTGGTGGGCCAGACAACCCTGCTGAGGACGTGAGGGCTTGCCATGCCCAAACAACCCCTAACCCTAAACCCCAAAACCCGAAACCGTAAACCTTAGCATAAACCCCTAAACCGCAACCTCTGGACCAAAGGCCTGGATCCCCCCAGCCGCTCCAAAGGCCAAGGATCATTTAAGCCGCAGTACACTTTTGCATCCACATCCACCCTAAGGTATCCTCAGCCCTTAAGCCTTATAACAACTTTATACTCCTTATAAACCATGTATCCCACATACCCTCTACAACAACTTAAAACCCTTAGAACAGCTTACCACCCTTCATATACCCCCCCCTCCAACCAAAGCCCAGGTTATCCATGGCAGCGGCATCGTGCCGAGCCGTGAGTTGCCTTTGCGACCGCCAACGGCCAGTCTCTGATGCCCGAATGTGCCCCCCCAGCTTTCCTCTCATTGACTATGCTACTATTTGCTTACGGTTTCGGGCGTATAGGGCTTAGGGCTTACGCCACTTGCACTAGCTGGGGTTTAGCAGCGGGTTTGATCATGATAGGGGCGGGCAATAGGGGGGGGGGGGGCAGGCGTTAACGCTGTGGGTTTCAATGTAGCCCTTGATGTTACACAGGATTGTTGAGAAAAGAAAAGAAAGGGAAGGGAGGGATTTTCTGATTTACTGTTCAGGATGCATGGAAACGAATCTCAAGAACACCGCTCTCGGTCCATAATTCACTGCCCAGTATGTTGCATGAGTTTGTTGAAGCTGGCAAACTTGTCTTCTCCATGCCCTAAACCCTCAACCTAAACCCTATAAACCCCATACCCTCGTTGGCGGCACAGACCTTGTCACAGGCAACGCCCGAGGTGCTCCTTAACTTCCAGTAGGGCCCAGACATTTTCCTCGGGTTCTTGGCCCTCGTGCGAGGAAAAAGTTCTTTGCCTTGACCTGGATGAGACTTAAACCCGAACTCTGGTACTATAAACCCACTAATAGCCTTTCATGACCCAGAGCCAGAAACCCCACATAAGCCGCAAAACCCAAGCCGGCGAATCCAAAGTGCATGGCCCGACACGTCAACCTAAATCCCGTGTCATCTCAATCTCCTTCCCATCACCCCCCACTCTCAGCTCTTGCTCAGCTCTTGCTCAGCATGCGGACAAGCCGTATGCATCGTTTTTGACATGTCCTTTGGCGCCGAATCGTCGGTCTTGCTGTCGCCACAGCAGGCCCCCGATGCGCCGTGCAACACGGCAATTCGCTCAATGAAGCACATCGACGCGACCTTCGCGGCACCCGAGGAGGTGGGAATTGATCCCTCGCGCCTGGAGCGCCTCACACACGTGCTGCGAGACCTGGTCCGGAGCGGACCTCTGCCAAATGCGGCCATGTTGGTTGCACGGAAGGGAAAGGTGTCCTTTGTGGACTTTGTGGGAGAGGCACGACCAGGAAAAGTTGTAGATGGCAGCACGATCTGGCGCGTGTACTCCATGGCTAAACCCATCACCTCCGTGGCGATGCTCATGCTCATCGAGGAAGGTCGAGCGCTACTCACGGATCCTATTCACCGATTTCTGGGACAGCGCTGGCATCGGGAGAACCTCCAAGTGCGTGCGTCTGATGGTTCGTTGGAACCCTGCCAGCACGACATCACCATCCGCCACCTGCTCACGCATACGGCCGGCTTGTACTATGGACCGGTCTATGACAGCGCCTCGCAGCCTGACTACCCGGACATTGATAGCGAAACCAACCTCGAGACGTTCGTGGACAAGTTACCTCAGTTCCCTCTAGCATTTCAGCCAGGTTCCCAATGGAAGTACTCTTATGCCACCGACGTTGTCGGGCGCGTTGTTGAAGTTCTCAGTGGCATGGATCTCGAGACCTTCTTCCAGGAGCGCATCTTTCGTCCCCTTCGCATGGTCGACACATCCTTCTACGTGCAGACTGAGAAGCTGTCTCGCTTTGTTGACTGCTGGCAGCAAGTACGCGAGGGAGAGCGAAAGAACGTCACCGCCGAGCAGATGCGGAGGAGGGAGTTTCAGCCAGGTGTCCTGCTCTCGGGCGGTGGTGGTCTGGTCTCCACGCTCTCGGACTACCATCGTTTCTGCATGTTCCTACTCAATGGAGGCAGCCTCGATGGACACCGCCTCCTCTCGCGCAAGGCTGTAGAGTGGATGACCATGAACCACCTTCCTGGCAACAAGGATATGGTGTCTTTGTCTACCGCAGGCTACACTGAAACGGCGATACCTGGGGTTGGGTTCGGACTTGGCGTCGCGGTTCACACGGATCCCGTAGCATCTGGACAGATCTACAGTCAAGGCTCCTTCAGCTGGGGTGGCTCGGCCAACACCTACTTTCTGTGCGATCCTGTCGAGGACATTTCTTTCGTGTTCATGACACAGCTCGTAGGACTGGATCGTGCCCGCCATCCCATTCGCACCATGCTGCCACAGGTGCTTTATTCAGCTGTGGCGGATGGCCCCTTGAAGTGTCAGGTCTCTTGTCACAGCAGTCTCTAGTTGATAGATCTCTGGTGTCGTTGCATGTGCCTGCTTTGGGTAGACCTCACCCGTATCGGAACTCGACCTTCCCCGACAAAGATCTTTAAATCGCTTGCCTCCTCCCACTTGGCACAGACTCCTCCGGACATGAACGCCTTACGTTTGTAATCGGCTCTTTTGGGAACATAAGCTTCTCGTGGCCGGTCATGTCCTGGCGCGCAGTCCACAAAGGACGCATGCGTGGCCAGGACCTGCAATCAATTGCGAGAGCTGCGGCCGGTGGAGCTTGCAAGCTCTGTGTGCGATTGCAATCCTTATTGGCATAACGTCGATACCCTGACCCTTTTGAGGATGGTTGTGGTTGTAAGGATTAAGGTTTCGTGGTTCTTAGGTTTAGGTTTAGGGTTTGCAGTTTAAGGGTGGAGAGCTTTGGAGGGCTGGGGAGTGGAGACACGAAGAAAGAGACGGCCCCGTTCTCGGCTCAAGCTGGAAAAGGGGTTGAAGGAGGCATCCACTCTTAAGCCAAAGTCTAGAAACTCGTTAGACCCCCCGGTTTTCAGAAGCTCTAAATCTCTGAGCCCGAACCCCAAACCCTCAACCTTAGCTTCCTAGATGCGAAGGCCCCTGCACCTTCTGCCGTGGGCTCCTGCACTGGAGGATGGTTGCCCCAGCCTAGGGAACAGTTCCCTAAGCCCCCCTGAAATCTAAGTCCTAAATCCCCGACAAACGATGTCTGCGAAGTTCTGGATTGCGGCGTTGTGGGCGCTTGCCCCACGAGGCACAGGCGTTTGTCCAGCAGGGCTTGGAGTGCAAACCCGAGACCCTAGACACGGCTCAAGAATCGAAGCCCCTGGTCCTAGAGATGCCCATTCTCTTACCCCTGAACCCCCACACGCACACTGAAGCCAACGACCTAAGGCCTACTTACGAACCCTCTAAACCTACGACAAACGACTAGACTCCGCCGATCGCGGTCTGCAAACCAAACAAAGCCCGATAAAGGCAGGCCTATAGGCCTGGTGTCGTGTGTTTACGTTCACGGTCCTGCGGGTTAGTGCTGCGGGGTAGGGCTGGGGAGGTGGCGGAGGCTTTCGGAGCATTTATACTTTGGCTTACATGTCGGGTTGGCGTTTGAGTCAAGGGTTAGGGGTTCGTAAATGTCTATAAATCCTCGACCAACTCGACAGCTAATGAAACTCCAAAGTCTTCTCAACGATCTGTCCCCCTTGAGACTGATGGTTTCTACTTTGCGGGTGCCTACCCAAAAGCAGGGGTGCGGGCAACGCTTCCCTGCAAGCACGAACCCCCAAGCGCTAAGTAAACCCGAAAGGGGCTACGGGGCTTGCTGCAAGCCCCTGAGCCATGAATCGCATGGTTTACGGTTTATATGGGCGGGATCCAAAGGATGGACCCTTTCCGATCAACCCATAGAAGGGTAAAGGGCTCCCCTGCGCCATTCTCCCCTGGAGGCCTTCACGCCCTGCGCACGCAGGAGGCGGTGCTAGATGGAACCGAAATAGAACTCAACACAAGCCCTAAACCCTAAACCCTAAACCCTAAACCCTAAAACCTAAACCCTAAACCCTAAACCCTAAACCCTAAGCCCTGGGATCCGAAAAGAACTTCAGGTCGTTTCAGGGTGCTCTTCGCACTCTGAGTGTCTGAGGTTTGGGGCTGAGGAGGTCTCATGCCTGCTGTGTAAGGAGCGCCTTTCAACACTCAAATATATATATATATATATATAGATATAGATATATGATTTATTTATTTACTTATTTATTTATTTTGTTTTTTTATTTATTTACTTTGTTGTTGTTAGTTGAAGCTGCCACAGACGGCCTAGGGCCTCTAAGTTACGACATCAGTAAATCCCCAAGCCAGCTCTCTAAATCAAGTCGGTTTCCTTGGTAGATCAGAGGTGTTGTTCCCAGAAAGGGAAGGGAACTCCCTGCGTCCTGAGCGCTGGAAACCTAGGTTTTAGGGTTTAGGGCTTAAAAGGCTTTAGGAAGATTTGTTTCGTGGCGTCCTAGACTACAGGGCATTCGGGACGTGGTGGAATTGACGAGAGGAGCTGGCGCTCGGACTCGGCCTCGTCAGCGGCAACGAGACCAACTTCCTGACAGCCACTCGCAGACAGAGATTCAACAGCCTTCAGCACCATACCCTTTTTTTACCTTAATTGCACTACGTCGATAGACGTCAGGCTGCAAGTGATTAAAGGGTTTCGGCCTTGTTTTAAAATGCTGGTTTCACGATTTGGTTCTTTAGACTTGGAAAGGGGGTGACCCGAGGTCAGGAAGGACTACGAGCCCTTCATTCGACGGGAGGTCGTCGGCGCTGAGACTGCATCTCGGACTTGCCAAAGCACCTTGGGACCAAGTCAACCCTAAAAGGGTTTTTATGGTTCATATGCCTTAGTAGGAATTGTAGTCGCATAGGGTATACGACCGCAACTTTAGGGTTCATTCTGTCCCCACGGCAGAGCGAGACAACGTAGGTTTTTGGGTGTAAGAGGCTTCAGGCTTAGTTCAATATTCAACCCCTGCACCCCTTCACGTTGAACATGGCCACAATGGTTTCTTCTTGGTATGTCATATGTTACAGTATATGATTGCATGTCAGAGCGCGCGTTTATGGTACGTTTTAGTTTTGCAGTAGACTATAGTACGTTTCAATATATTATCTAGAACGCGTCATGGTAAATTTATCCTCTTATCATTCTGTAAAGTATTTAGTGTTTGGGTGTGAGGGCGGGACGGTTATGATCGTTATCAGGCGAGGGCATGTTTCACCCCACCCACACCCCCCCCCCCCCCCGCGAACGAAGTGTCAATGGATTCATAGCCGGAGGGCTCCTGCGACCCTGGTCCTTTCGTTGAGGATTGGTTAGGGATTGCAGTTTAGGGTCAAGCGTACACCAGGAATTGACGGTTGACCCGAAAGCTAAGCCTTAAACTAGTCTAACAAATGCGAAGCGCCCAAACCCCAACTCACAAACGACACTGACTGGTTGCGTGATTGGCAGGCCAAGCGCAGGGTTTGGAAATCTGGGTTTATACACAAGGTTCAGCCTCCGCTACAACCTCAGTTTAGGGTTGAGGAAGATGATGGTTGCGGGCTTAGGACATAAGCTTGGACAAAAAGGCCCCATGAATCCCTAAACTCAACACCGTTCAAGCTTACACCCGACACCCTAGTCACCCTAGACGCCTGAACTCCTAAACCTCTAGCCCTTTCCGCACCTTTAAGGCCACTGCGTGGGCTTTTGAGGCCTTTCAGCCCAGTAAACCCTAAACCCTAAACCCTAAACCCTAAACCCTAAACCCTAAACCCTAAACCCTAAGCCCCGTTAAGCCCCAAAAGGCCCTCTCGAAGTCTTTCGAAGCCTCCGAAGGCAGCGAGTTGGCTGCGGCAAGGCTTTACACCTTTCGGCCGCCGAAAGGACTGGAGTCCCTTGGCTTGAGCCTGAGAGCTATCGAACTATCTCTACATGTGAAATGGGGTTTAGGGTATGTGTATTCATATATATATATATATATAGATATGTATATCTATATAGAAAGAGAGACAGAGACAGAGATGGTGTAGGTATATATGTATATGACCTACAAGCCTCCGTTTGTTTGAATCGTAGATCTCGATCAACAGGTGCAAAAAACTCCAGTTGAATTCCAAGCACAAGGGTCGCCCTACTTTGTCGTTTGAACAGTTCCCTCTCGGGGTCTCCCAGAGCCTCTGTGGGCCTGTCCCTGGGTCTCCATGAGTCTTTTCGGTGGCTTGTGCACCTTGAGCTTTCCTCTTTTGTGGATCCCAATGCTATCGCGCTCTCTCTCTCTCTCTCCACAAATCTACATACTTGTAGGTTTAGGGACCAACAAATCTTTGGAAGTCCCTGTTGTTGTAGTTGCAGAAAACACAAGGGAATGTTACAGCGTCATATATGTGTGTCTTTATATGTATAGGGACCAACAAATCTTTGAAAGTCGCTGTTGTTGTAGTTGCAGAAAACACAAGGTCATATATGTGTGTCTTTATATGTAATGATCACATGTTGGGGTTGATGGGCAGCTTGGCCGGGGGGCCGGGGGGGCGGGGGGGCGGTGTGGGAGTTTAGAGTTTTTTTGGGTTGCTGTTTTGGGAGTTGGAGGTTTGGTGGGGTGGAGGGGGGGCGTTTGGGGAGTTTGTGAGGTGTGGGCCCGTGTGGGCTTGAAAGTGCCCCCCCCCCCCAGCAAGGGTCCCTCAACCCACATCAGTTCTCCGATCAGGCTTGACATCCAGCCTCGGCATGCAGGAGGCCATCGCATCTCGACTTCGCAAATGTTAGGAGAGGGCGGATTGGGGTTTTCGGGATTTTTGGGGGTTTATAGCGGGAAAAGATTAGGTCTCCGTGCTCTACGATGACCTCCAGCACACCAAGCAGCCGGTGATCGACGTTGGCTCCGGGCACCTTGCATGGAGTTAGGGTGAATGGTATGCAGGGTGGTATGCAGGTGGTATGTAGGGGATGTAGTGCTTAGGGTGGTTTACCATGTCATAGGATGCCCTACCACTCCCCCTTGCAAGTGGTGGTCCCTTCTTGATCCGTTTTGGGTCTTGGGTATCTCAAGAACACGGGCATTAGCTCAGCCCTAGACCCTAAACTAGTAGAAGGGACAAGAAACCTCCAATACTAGCCAAAGAAGCCGCCCTGATTGAGCGATTTGCCCACGTCCTCACGGTCCAAACGGCCTCTTTGCCTCATAGCAAGCGGAAGCACCCTGACGCCTCGATGCTGCCTCCCCACCCTGAAGACAATCTACCTTTGCACATCCGCAATCCCCTAGTTATCAAGCTCCTCAAGCGTGCACACCCCCCATCTCCCTCCACCCCGCCAAAGCCAACCCTAAAGCCCCCCCTACCACCACACAAATCACTCACACACACACACACACACACATGCACACTCTTCACCGCCTTAAACATCCCTAAATCCCTAAACCCCAAACCCCTAAACCCGAAACTCCAAACCCTATACCCCCACCCCTAAACCCCAAACCCGAAGCCCTAAAGCCCAAGAATCCAGGACCGGCTCCTTGGTCCTCCTCCTGGCGGAGTTCGCTCCCAACGCCTCCCAGATAGTCGGCCTTGAGTCTCCCGGCCTTGTTGCCTTTGCTTTTGTTTTGGCTTGGGGTTTGGGGTTTGGGGTTCAGGGCTTAGGGCGTATACGGGCTTAGGGAGGTTTAGGGTTTATGTCGTTCGAAACTTTGCTTCGGGTTTGAGGACTTTTCGGGGTCGCGGCTGAGTGCGGATGCATAGGGTGTAGGGCTTGCAGCCTGATCGGGAATCCACTTTGCCCTTTGTTCAGGGGACCAACGAACTGGCGTACTTCAGGGGTAGCTTCGGATTCATGAATCAGTGGCTCACACTCCAACTCTTGTACACCCTCGGGCCCCGCATGGTGTCGGAACCTCTGCCTGCCCAACTCTCAGCCCGACCGCAAGGAACCTTTGTGTGCACTTCAATACGGGGGTGCTTCACTTTGCTAGGCTTGATTTCGTGTATAACAAGTGTTTGACCAGTTCTTTGCTTAAGAAAGAGCACACTATGTCCATGTGCCGATTTACATTCGTTGCGTTGGCATTTACAGTCAACTAGCAAAGGCGCGGCGGATAGATTCCAGCCCGAAACCAAAACGGTGCATGTACCTTAGGATTGCAAATTGCCCTCAGCAACCCGAAGCCACGCCCACGAAAGCCCAAACCTTAAAAACACCCTAAACCCTCAACCCTGAACCTTAACAGACTCCTAAAGCCTCCGAAAAGCCTCCGAAAAGCCTCCGAGAGCCTGGAAAAGGTACAACGAGGAGGCCTCCGAGAATGCCGAGGAGATTCTTGAGGCCAGAGTCCTGGGACAAGCTGTGGAGTCGTGTTGGTTGTTTTGAGTGGTTTAGGGTACTTAGGGTTTTAGGGTAAGTGGGTTTTAGGGTTTCAGGATTTAGGGTCTTAGGGTTGGTGACTAGGATGTTTAGGGGTTCATTGGCTCTTCAAGACTTGGGCCAAACTTGAAGTGCGCTCATCCTTCCCGAAGCGGCTCGAAGCCGCATCAGGATGTCCAGGAGCTGTCTCCTGAGATGCGGACGATGCTCCTCGGCCCAGCTCGAGATGGGTTTGGGGTGTCAGGTTTAGGGTTTTTTCCGTCATGGCACCATTGGGGCTTGTGGCGCTTCTACGAAGGTCCCTTGCAAAGACCACCGGGCCCTGCCTCGCAAAAAAAGAAGGTTTTAGCAACAACATGGCCTCCGCCAACTGAATACCTTGAACCATAAAGCACTTCACCCGTGCACCCTCATGACACCCTCCAGATCCCCCTACCCACCCCAGGACATTACTTTCGAGGCCTCTGTTGGGGGTGGAGTTAGGCTTGACGCCCTGCTAGGGCTGTACTCCGCAACCCCCCCTCGAATAATGGGGGGTGGGTGGGGGGGCGGGGGAAAAAATTGTAGAAAGGGGGGTTGTAGGGTTTCCGCCGTCAGGCGCTGGGGTCAACTAGTCTCCTTACTCGTTTTTCATCACACATTATCACACATCATTTTCATCATCATCATCTTCTTCATTCTTCATCATTATCTCCCCCTCATTCGTTTTATGCTAGGGGTTTCTGGGGTTTTATCATAAATTTCCTAAATTTAAGTCCTTTTACCCTAAAATTTCATCACATCTAGCCCCCTCATTCATTATTTTCATCATAATTTCAGGGATTATCATAATTCCTAGATTTCTGGGGAGTTTGACCTTCTAATGTTTTATCAAATATTCATAATAAATTTTATTATGAATGTTTGCTGGGGGTTTTGGTCTTTAAGGTTATGGTTTTAGGTTATAGGCGCGCCTTGGCTTCTTCGTCTTCGTTGACATCATCCTATGATGGTCAGCCTTGCTCGCTTGACTGATTGCACGCCGTTCCGTGAATGCATTTCCTTATCTTTGTTTGAAATGAGTAATCAGCAAAACTTGACTGATTGAAGGCGTTCTGTGCTCACAAGTTATCGTGTAGTGTATCTGTTGTTGATGCAATGTCGGGATACGAGGGTGAAGTGCCAGCAGTTCCAAGCGATGAAGTGCCAGCAGTTCCAAGCGATGAAGTGCCAGCAGTTCCAAGCGATGAAGCGCCAGCAGTTCCAAGCGATGAAGCGCCAGCAGTTCCCAGCACAGGGGGTGCAATCTTGCCAGAAGTTGCCGCTAAGGATGTGAAGTTCATCGTGGAGAAGCATACCAAGGAAAACCTTCGCAAGATTCTAAAGGAAGACGAGAAGCAGGCACTCCTAGCTATCCCAGATGACAGAATTCCGGAGAAGCTTCAGAGCATCAAGGATGGCATCAAAAAGTTGCTTGCCGAGGAGTTGTACCTTACCGAGAACCGCGACATTGAGAAGAAGAGCAAAGACAAGACCACGACAAGCATCAATAACTTCACGGTGTCGGTTCACTACAAGGGAGAGATGAAGCCACTCATCATCTCCTCCACTACAAGCATGAAGGATGTGAAGAGCACCATTTTCTCAAAGTACGAGATTTTGCCCAAAGACCAGACCAAGAGGCGCTTCTTCGCCTTGACCAATGAGACGCTTACAACAAAGAGTACCGAGGTTCTCAAGAATGCGGAGATTACCACCATGCACGGCAAGAAGTTGGTGGGGACAATCTTCAATGACCAGACTCACATTCGCGTGGAGTGAGTTATCGCTCGCTTGATATGATCAACGGAAAGACTGAACCGTTCGTGCAAAGTAGGTCTTTCACAACGCCACTTGAAACCTTGCCGACGCCGAGCAGAGCACAAGTGTGAAAAAATCACACTATCGGTAGATGGACTTTATTATGCCACCTTGCTTGTTTAATGTTACAATGCTTGAGGAACATTCTTGTACAATGGAAGCATTTATGCTCAAAATCTGTTTGTGTCTTGCTCCGTGCTCTTTCTTGCAACAGCTATGGTCATCAAGGGACACCTCAAGAAGAGCGACCAAGTGAGGAATCTCGTCAAGAAGTCTACCACAAAAGCATTCAAGACAAGCGACGGTGAAGAATTACCTGCACTACCTGAACAAATGAAACCACTCGTGCAGTCAATCCGTACCACTTTGGAGGAGTACAAGGGGAAAGTGTCACTCGGTGGTTCTCTCATCAAGGACGCCTTGACCGCTATGAATGAGGATGACTTGAAGTACATGAGGACACTCTTTGAGTCAAGCAAGGCAATAACCAAGACAGAGGATAAGTTGACTAAAGTCTGTAGTTTGTTTGTGCCACAAATAGCACAAATACAGAGCATCATTCCACACCTAAATCATCTCAAGAGTGAACTACTTGTCAACTTTATAAATGCTTATGCCCACGAGTACAATGTTGACAGGGGTGTGGATGTCATTTTTGACCACGATTCGTTTCTGCAAGATGTTAGAGATGAATTGTCATTCAGGAGAGGATTGAAGCGTGGAGTTCGCTCGTCAACTGAAGAGCAAAATGCTCCGGTTGAAGAGGAAAGTGAACAAACCAAAAACTGTTCCATTATGTGAACAGTTGTCACTGTTTCAGATGACAATCAACGGTAAACACTCCCCGTCACCCACGGTAAGCCTTCCCCGTCACCCACGGTAAGCCTTCCCCGTCACCCACGGTAAGCCTTCCCCGTCACCCACGGTAAGCCTTCCCCGTCACCCACGGTAAGCGGTGTAGGTTAACATTGTCATCTGACAGTGGCGTTCCTCAAGTCACTCGCCCTTTAGGGGCGCATCATTAAATTTTATTATTCCGATGCGCGTTTTTGTGACAGCACAGTTTGTGGGCGACGCTTGTGGAGCAGTGAAGAGGGAAGAAGGCGTTCTTGTTCACCCCCTAAACCCCAAAATAACGGATATCAAGGGCTCATATTCATAAAAATATCCCAAAAATATAAATACCCTGAAAATACAGGCAATTCCCACACAAAATATCCCAAAATCCCAAAAAATAATATATATCATAGACCCTAAAACATAAAAATATAAGTTTAGCCATCCTACCCGAGGGACTTTAAGACCCTAAAACCCTAAAATATAAAGAATAAAGACATAATATATCGCGACAGGTCTACATTGAGACGCAGAAGTTCCAAAGTGTCGGGCACTTCGTGCCTGTCGGCACTTCCTATCATTGAGACGCGAGGGTTTAGGGTTTAGGCGTTTAGGGTCGTTGTGGTTTAGTCCTTTCGGTTTAGTCCTTGAGGCTTGTTGTTTTTTAGGTAGGTCTGTTGTTTTGAAAAAAGGAACGCGCCCCTTTTTATATTGTTTATTTCGTGTCCTGCCCCTCCCCTAATGTAAAAAGCGTTCCTTTTTTGAAGATTTTGTTTTTTGGGTTTGGTTTAGGAATTTGGTTTTGTTTACACAGCTCCGCGTGCCTCGCCTTGCCCTTTCGTTTTACTAAAACATTTTTAATAAAACCCTGA